ATATCTTAGGAAAACTTGGTATTTCATGAGAAAATACAAACAAGCTAAACTTGAAATCTTATGACTAGGCCGAGCTAGAACTGGAGGTACTGGCCCAAGAGAGGCCAGTGGGCCTGGTTAACACTAGGTGAATACCGAAATGATGGACTATGACGTAGTGACATAGAGTCATTACGTGCACACATTTCATACACACTCCTCATTTAACGTTCCAAGTGCATGTTTCTTTTGAAAATCGACCTCGTTGTAGTTTTGCCGGTAATCGGCCTAATCCGGGACCAAAAGTCGCTCAGAGGCGAGAAAAATTGCCGCAAATCGCTCTAAATCCGTTAAGCGTTTTAGTACAAACTGTTCTTTTAAAGGAGTTTATACACCTCCAAAAGAGTAGTAAAAAAGGTACCAGGTAACTCCAGTAAGCAGCATAAACTAAAATTCACCATTTACCTTACTGTCTTTAATATTTGTAACTTGCACATCTGTCGTCGTCACAAGCGATGCAGCWAGATTCGCCGTATACGATGCAACAAGCATTAACATTGCAAACGCAAAAACAGCTGACGTAGTGCGAGCACTARCACTCCTCGGACTCGCATTGCTATCAAGCTCCAGCTTGAAMACACCACTCCAGATGAACGACATACAGGCTGGGATATTAAATGCATGCTTCCTCCGGTCTACATGAGATCGATAATGGCCAAGAGGACTAATACGGTCCAAAGACCAGACCACAATAAGAACTAAATTRATAACAACCAAGGCAACTATCCAGAGATTCGTGTGAAATGGAGCCAGGAACCCAAACTCAATCTTATTCCAGCTTTTGACCTTCTTACCAAGCATGATTTTGGTYTCTCCGTACAGAAATGGAACRGAATAATCTATGACACGTGAGCGACTTTCTTTGATAGTGAGAGTAGTGAGCGCTATTTCTGCTTTTCCATCGATTAAGTCTTTAACCATGCCATTCCATGAYTTTGTGGTTGCATTGTATGCCCCGTAATAYTTGTCTTCCACAAAGTAYAACTTYACATGAATTCCGAGGTCTTTTTTGAGAAGTTCTAGAATATCGATGGCATACCCAATACAGCATTTTCTAATCTCATGAACCTAAAAGAAATTTTCAATAAAATTTAGATATTTATATTCATGCATCACAATGATTTGGCTTTTTAATATTTTAAAGTGATAGATGTTAGTGAAAGAAGTTTRAAGGAATTTGGTCATCCAAACATTCGCGCCATAATCCAATAGATTTGAATCACCCTTATATGTAAACAGTATTCGGTAGCGATTTCTCGTTTGGCAAGGGTTAATYAATCACCATCAAGCGTTGTTGAGCGCCGGGACCATCATATAAATATATCTAACCTGAGTTCTATTAGTACCAGGGATGGGTTTCTCCTCGAATTGAATRCACAGTTGTGAGAGAGTACACTGCTCATTCTGTAATAGTCCTTTTCTGCTTACTGTRACCACAGGRTTGTCGGGACTGGTAACCATCTTGATCACATGACTTGATGCGTAGCTTGCGTTGACTTCCCAGAATGCACTTTCCAGGTGGATCTTCTTGTCCACTGCTGTCCCGACTTTTTTCCAGAGCTTTCCATGTTGGCCATCTTTTGTCATGCGTAGTATCTTGAAGGTAGTGACTTTTCTCTCTCCCTCATTTGTAAACGCTACTGAGCCGGTTTTTCCATTAAAGAATTGATTTGTCATCACTCTAGATTGTAAAGTYTTATTTGTTAATTGTATTAAAACAAATTTGTTTGGATTTTCATGTTTTCAGGRGTTTGAAAAACTGGTAATGCTTCTGACATTTTTTTTTTATTTACAAAGAAGTGTATTGTCTGGGTAGAGGACTGTCATTTTCTGTGGTTAGTTATCATTTTTAGAAACTTATCCCAGTCTCCACTTAGTTGATTGATATACCAGACGTTGAGTGACGTCCATTTAGGTTGCTTACTTGTATAATTTGCTGCCATCAAGCCAAGGTTTCAGAGAATCTGAACAAGAACTGTTTCTTRAATTGGAGTTAGCCAACCAATGTRCTGACGGTATACTTGAATTAATCARCTGCATTGCGTCAGCAACAAGATCATCTATCGTGTATGGCACTTKTARCTTCARCACCCCTAATGGAACACTGGRYACTTTCTYTTGTTCATTTCCGTCGAACGTTYKATCAAACACGACCCAGAAGAATTTCTCGACTGGAATTTCGAGAGAAGCCGTAACTTTTTGAACGTACGCGGCCAGGGCAGCGTTACAATCCAATACCACAACTCCTGCTCCACTTTTATTCATGAGTAGGACTTCCTTAGAAATGCGGATGAAATCATCTCTATCGGGATCGTCCTTAAGGAGTATTTCATGTACTTTAATACTTATTGAATTTATTTTTTCGGCCATTTCTTTAAAATGTAATGCAGTTAAAGCAGAAACGTTGTCTTTGGTTGTAAATAGAGTAATGCAAGGGCTTCCGAACTCAATGGCAAGTCCRATAATTGCTGMAGTCTGGGAAGAACTTGAGGGTCCTAGACTAATGTAGTTGGACCCGTGCTGTGAAAAGATAGTTATTAATATAAATGAATATTCATGAAACAGCATATCATTATCATCCATGATTACACCATTATCATCGCATCATGAACAATATTATAGAAAATATTATAGATATTTACCTGCAAACCGGAAAAATGGTATATTTTTTTAAATTAATTTTAGCTTGAAGATCTTCAACGTGGGTATACAAAAATGCCGTAAATGTAAATTACGTTTTCATTGACTTCAAACAGCGATCAAATATGACAAAACACAAACGAAAAACTACAGTAAATAAAAACCAACATTTGCGTCAGAAGATCGATATCAACCTTGAAATCCCATCATGCTGTTTTTTGTTTCTGTTTGAGGGGAAGAGATTATCAACAAAACAATTAAAATTCACGACTGATAGAAAAACATCATCTGTGATAATTTTTGGATGTTTTTATTTCGTGTGGTCGCATGTCGTGTAAAAAGGAGTAATTAATATCTCTACGGCCTCTAAGTTTCTCCTAGAACTGGCTGATTAGCAAAACCTTAATTGATCACATGAAAAACCAATGTATACACAATTTTTTTCGTTGTTTTGATTAATTAGTATGTTGGATAAATCAATCCTGTACCAGAGAGAATAAAAGACATTAATTGTATTCATTCGACACACGGGATTCTATCGATTCTAACCAACTTGTCCAGCAATTATTGCATGCAAAGAAACAAGTTTTGACAGATTATAGTACTCTCATTTTGATTAACGGACATCAGTTATAAAACTCATATTTAAAAAAGCCAGASCATTGAAATTTTATCGTACACAAATAAGAAACTGTTTGGAATTGAAGAATCARTCAAATAAGCAATTTCTTTTTTCGATGCATTAGCAAAATACAACTCTATAGAAATGAAACTCGTGTCACAAAAGACATTAAAAATATTGTCAAACGTGATCAATAGAAGTGATTTCAAATCAAAGAAAAAACSTAACAAGTGACTACTTCTTTTGAAAGATAAATAAAATTAAAAGTCTGTCTGTTTTATTTGAAAAGATTCTTCCGTTTTAAGAATGATATTTAGATAAAATGAGAAATCTTCGAAATTGCTTGACCTTGGACAGATTGTGGCGCCATCAATACTAACAGAAGAAAGTTAATATAATAAGTTCTGTGAAAAGTTATACTAGATGTGACAAATTTTCCATTTCTTTCTATTATAGCAATGTCATAATTCATTAAATCAATATGAAAGACTAATTGACGAAGGGCTAAAATGATGGATCACCCAACACAATAAAACACATTGTTAGACGGTCGAACAGCTGGAACAGTGTTGAATCATTCTTGGTGTCCCCAATGCGCTGAGAAGTCATTAAGAATCAAGCTATCGCCGCCATGTTGGATGAATGAGCAAGAGAAACWTTTGATGCCGAGTGCTTTGTTATTTCATCCAATATGGCGGCGATGTAAAGTTGACCAATCCACAAACTGCAAGTCGCCCCACAACAAAATGATGCAACCCGGCATAAAATTAGGATATCAAACCATATACCACAATCAAAACGAGATATATCCTACAAACAACACTGAGACTTGATTTACATAGTAGATGGACCATAAACTAATATTTGAAGTCATTTGAAAATGGTTGATTTTCTATATTCGAGAAATGAMGTTGGAAACACATTTCATGTTTGATGGATATGTCCCTTTAATGAGGATGAACGGATGGATATTGATTTATTTATTACTGGAATTACTGTTTTCCCCGTGAGATACGTCTCTCACCTCAGTCAGCTAGCACAGCGTTTTGCGTCAACTAAAGTAGCCCACCTATGCCATCAATAATAATAATATCAAAACAATAATAAACTTTTAAAGTCAAACATAAAGATAGAAAACGCCGATATTATTTACTCAAAGTCTTATTACATAAAAAAAATACGATTGTCAAGGAGAATTACCATCAGAAGCCGTTAAAACATACATTTTTTTTCATATTCACTGAAACATTTCTGGGGGAATTTCCACTGGTTCAGCTCAAGCGAATTAATATATCTAAAAGCAGTACATATTGAAAGCCGTGTATTCTTAATTAACGCAATAATAATAATACCAATCTTTTTTATTATTTATATTGGGTCAAGATCATATTTATTAACGAATTATCTTGGTGATCATATGATATATTATTTTTCTGTCGTTTGCTAAATGTGTTGTCTTGAAAAACATCAAGTAAAAAAAAACCTTTGGCTTTTGCATGTCAGAACAACTTCTGTCAATTTGATTTAACACGGATCATACTGATCTAAACAGCGCTATAATCTATAGCTGTCGAAAGCTGTCACCTTTTCTTGAGGTCATTATTTGAATTTCAAATCATTTTTCAATGAATGCCAAAAAGATTAAATATTTGTTTTTTGTTTTCAAAACACAAAAAGCAAATCGTTTTTTAATCAAGTAGATTCACTTTCCTCTTGAAATCAAAACATTTGAGTAAAAACTCCCTTGGGCTCGATTGCGCTCTCAAAATATTCCTCGGCTCAAATTTGTTACAATTTTTAAAAATAATCATTATAATAATGCAATCAAAATAGCATTCAAACCTTATAAGGACCTATAAGCAACTTCAATCACACCATATACACCTATATACATAAAAAAACGTTTTCGTGAAGAAATACGAACGGCAATTGCGAAGTGTCGAACGAAGATTGCATGACCGAAAGGGACTATGGTTACGCTGGTTGTCATACAAAATCTCACTTGTTTGGATAACCTTACATGCAAATAGAGAAAAGATATAGAGAAAATGTTTCCCAAAGACGATCTAACAGTAGAAATCAGTCATCAATTCCCATCAATAAGCAAATCCCATGGCTCCTTTCGGTCGTGAAATCTCCATTCGTTATTTCAGCCATTGTCCATCTTGTCCTCAACAGTTTTTTAGATAGGTATGGTTTCAGTTATAGCTTCATTTGTACCAAGTATCAATTTTTCTACACTAAACAGATATAATATATACAAAATTTACCAAAATTTGACTGGAAGAGGAAAATATATAATTTTGATAATTTTGTATATTTTATATCTGTTTAGTGTAGAAAAATTGATAATTGGTACAAATGAATCTATAACTGAAACCATACCGTCCTATCTAAAAAACTGTACGTACTATTTATCCATCCATTCTACTGACATTGGGTTGGATTAGGGAAGAGACTGTTTGTATGAGCCATGGATAGTAAAGTTTCTCCAGATAATCTTATGAACAAGTTATTCGGAAAACGTTTAAAATATTTGAATGTTAGTTATGAAAAACAAAATTTCATAAATAATATTAGTGATCGTCTTAAGTATGGAAAATTCAGTAATTCTGCTATTATTTTTTGATAAAACGTAATCCTGGACTTCAAGAAATTCACGGCTTCAATAGGCAATTTACAGCGACGCSATTTTGTGGTACAAAGCATGATGGGAGTTTTAGTCCTCGCACTTTTTATAGCCCCTGGAAAATCTCGCTAAAAGCCGTTTTTATGTTTTCTTTGTAGAACAGCACAACTACTTTGTATTTGGAAAACTATTTTAGCGAACACGAAGAAGGACTCAGCAACTCTCATCTTGCTTTGTAACACAAAATGGCGTCGCTGCTCATTTCAACAATTCAGATATCATTATTTTTGATACAACTTTAATTTCATTAATCGTGGGCATCAAAAATGCTCCTTCAAATTAGCAACCTCCTTAAAGTAGGATTTCCTAAAAGCACTGACCCCATTATAAAAATAACTATTCGATTAGTCTCACTTAAAATATAGTATAGTTCTCAGCTCCATTCATTTCATAAAACTTAGTATCTATCCTAGTTTTACGATTAGAACCTATTKTTTGCAAGTCGCTTATTTTCCCAAGCTATTATGTAATTTATAAAGGATTAGCCATAAAGTCTGAGTTCTAAATGGCATTGCTAGTTTGCTCTGAGAATGTCATTTGTGAAATGACAATCATTTAATTCAAGCACAGGTGGTTACACTTRAAATATCGTATGATGTCATTGGTTTGTTAATAACTTGGAATACTTCTCATAACCACCTAGAAGAAAACTACAGAGTATATATAAAATTCCAGAGCATTAAACAACAACAACAGCAGCCACACAAGACAGGAAAAAAGAGCCAAAAAAAATCTACAAAGAAAAACAATGATTTCAAAGAAAATGTGACTCTAAAGCTACCAAAGAAGCAATAAAGCTTGGGCTTGATATATTTTATCTTTTTCAAATAAATTTTACAGCTCAGCTGCATGCTTCTTTTAATTATTGGATAATCGATTTGATC